CCTTGTACATCACCTTCCTTTTTGTAATTAAGTGATACTTCAAGATAAGGGATCCTTAAACCCCTTGCTAAGTCTTTAATGTCAATAGTCTGCCTGATTCCCACATAAGCTTTCCCCTAGAGAAATTCAAAAGTCTATCAAATTCTTCCAGAGTCGGTGCTAGCTGAAAGTCTTGGAAGATAAAGCACCTCAGTGGAGGGTCGTAGAACTTAACCAGGGCAGAAATAGCGTCCAATTGTACATCCATTTTTTTCAACTAAAGGGTATCCCCGTAACGGCGAGTGAACATCTTCAAGGCTCTTTCAGACAGTTTCCCTTTGATGGTCTTGATCTTTGTAATATCTGGCTTGACGACATTAACACAAACAAGTTGTTTCCCTCTGGCATTCATTTTTAGGACACTTCACCAAAAACCTTCGATTATTTTTTTTAATCCTATGAATAAGACAAACAAAAAGAATGAAGAATGATGAATATATGAAATGCAATATGTATGAATACATGATTGTGTGGCATAGCAATGAGATTTCATGAAAGGTATCCTTAGTTGGTAGGCTCCTAGTTTTGGCCTATGTATATTCTACCCTACCAATAAGGTGGTTTCCTTAAGGGTATCATGGATAACACTAGAGGGAAAGGCACAAGGGCCTCACTTAAGTGGAGCCTCTTTGCAGACCGAAACTTTCGTATCTATGTCATGAAAGGTCTCTCCATGAGATTTTGGTTTAAGGGTTATACAAAGAGTCATAGGTTTTGTCCCAAAGTCCTACACCCTAAAAGGATGTCTCTTGAGACGTATTGCTTTTTTGGAAGTCCACCGACTCTAGGCAAAGTCGTCACAAAAAACTCATAGGGATAATGTATCCCCTACGAACCTTCTTTCTAAGGTTTTTTTGAAAAAAAAATTTTGAAAAAATAAAATCCTACCAGCAGATGAATAAAGATAATAAATAATATAATAAGAAAAAATAAATAAATAATTAAATAAGCAAGTATAAAAACCAAAAAACAAGAAAAATCCTAAAACCAAAATAAAAGGCTTTTAAACCCTAGGGCTGAGTCCTCAGTAGAGTCTCCGGCTGTAATAACCAGTTTTTAAAATGAGAGTCGCCACCCTTAATTTTTATCCTAAGGAAGGGAATATAAAGGATAACCCTAATTCGGTCAGAAATTCTAAGTTGTTTGACTGGGTCTTAGACGAAGGGAAGGTGTTAGGCACCCTTCATCTACCTTGTTCACAAGGATACTAGGGTTTAGGTTTACGGTTTAGGAAATAGGGTTTTAATTTTAATTAGTGGAACTCGCCACGATTTTAGTCGTATGCCTACGTATCCTCTTATGAGGAATCAGAGCCTCAATTCGTAGTTCGTAGTTGGTTGGTGTTTTTATGGATTATAGAAATATCTCGTATTCTCTTTGAACCAAGTCCGGTTTTGTAAATCACGGAGTTGTTAGACGAAGTTCGCAGTCAATAAAAGAAATTTCCATAATCCTTTTTGAAAATATATAAGTTTGAATTATGTTAGTAAGAAAAAGTTAGTTTTTGATTGGTTAGATGTTCTCAAATATACTATGTGATATAAGGGAAAAAATGTTTTTAATGAATGATAAAAAGAATTTTAATGTAATTTAAAAGTAATTAAAAATAAGTTAGTAAAAAATGTTGGGTTTAATAATAAATAAAAAACAAAATTCAGAATTTATATAAAAATATATTAAAGATGTTAATTTATAATGAATATATAAATAAATATAATATAATATAAAAATAAAAATTAATTAAAAAATGCAAGGGGTGTATTTTATGTGGGCTAAGTAATTTATGGGGGTGTAGATAACAAGGCCCTAAATCCAGATACTAGATTTAGGCCCAAATTACAAGGGGGTGCAGATTTGTACTGCGTAGCAAAATTGGGGATATACGAAGTAGGGGTCCAAGTCTAGATGTTGGACTTGGCCCACCAGCGTTGGGGGTGTGTTTTTTAACGCAGTAGTAAAATTCAAAAAAAATAGGGGTGTGATTAGAGATGGGCCAGGCCCCAGATTTATGCATGTTTAGGAGGTTCGTTTGGCTTGTGTGCGGGTGAGTGCACACACTTATGATAGGTGCGTGATTATGGAACATTGGATGATGATCAGATGGCGATTGTTAACGACACACTGTAATCTGCAACTCACAGGATCATAAGGCATTATATTTTTCTGTTTTCGTTTCATTTTGTTCATTTTTTTCTCCTTTCTCTCTCTCTCTCTCTTTGTTTAGTTCTGTCATCTCTCTCTCTCTCTCTCTCCACTAAACAACAACAACACATAACCCAAACCCTAATCGCAACCCCCAACGGTGACGATCTTCCTCTTTACCCCTATAATAACCCCAAGCTAAGATTCGTAGATTACCTCTTTGCAGTGATTTTCTTTGTTTTGATTATCGGTGTTCTGATTCTTCTTCTCTCTCTATTGCAGGTAACTGCGGTGCTGGTAGATTGAAGACGACGATGATGGCGATGGAGGTGCAGCAGAGTCAGAGGATAAATCTTAGGGTTTTAGAAATTTAAACCCTAGATCTATGCAAAGGGAAGGCTCTAAAGGCAAATAACTCTTTGTCTCCTCTTCTTTTTGTTCTTCAGTTTCTCCAATTTCTTCCCCCCACTCTTCTTAAGGTTCTTAGGGCTTTATATAGATTTTTAGGTTTAGATAAGTTAGTAAAAATTATATGATTTTTTGTATAATTTGTTGATTTAGGGTAGATTGATTAATTGGCGATTAGAAGGTTTGACCTTGTTCTGTAATTAGGGATTTGATTTCTTGTAATTGATTTTGGATGATTTTGCTGCGCAAAGATACAATTTTGTTTATGTGGATTTGATACACTTAATTTTTGTTTGATTCGTCTGAGATTTGTTTCAGTTTTTACAAAATGAATTCTTTTGCTTGGATCTGTACAATACGTGTTTTTTTAGGGTAACTTAGTGTAGCACAAGACAGAGCGCTGCTTGAAAGAGCACAATTAGTGTTTCACCCCTAATTTTTTAATTTTGACTTTAGTCAACACGTACAAAAAAATAACATCTGGTTTTTTTATAACAAAAATTAATTAATTGATATAATAATGATAATTATGTAAATAATAATAATAATGATATATGTTGGATGATCATAATTATTACAATTAAAAATAATAAAAAATAAAAATACTATAGTTTGTTAAATATTCAGATGAAGAGACCTAAGTGAAGCTAATGAGCTTTCCTAACATGATTCAATATGGGCATGTGATCCAACTTCTTTAGCCTTAACAAAAACCAACTCCCTTCCATACAAAGATGGGCCTCAAAATAACCTACTGGTCCAATTTTGCTATTCACCCCCTTTCTGTTTACTTATGGACCAGGCTAAGAGATGCTTAATGGTCCAGCACACTCTTTCTTAATGGCCCCCCTATTTTCTTTTGAACATACCTCCCTCTTATTATTATTATAACTGATCCAACCTTATTGAGCTATCAGATTTTGATGGTCCACCTGAAACATAACCCCCCCCCCCCCCCTTTTATGTACAATAATGCACCTCTCTCCCTTATGAGTGGACTACAAAAGTCTAAATGGGTTTGGAATGTAATGGGGTATTAAAATGAACCCATATGACAAAAACCACATCCCCTCTTATGTATTTGTATCAAACACTATTGGGCCATAGTTTGTATGAAGCAAATATACCCCCTCTATAAGTTTAAACCCCCATAATATGTAAACAATTTGGAATTAGACAACGGTGATCCAAGCTTTATATATACATTAAATAACAAAAAGGAATAAAATGGTTTAGAAATTAATAGGGAAAATTTGTGGTATGACACAAGGTTTCTTGGTATTCAAGAATCCGTTTATACTCTATTCTTGGCATCGTTTTTCACAAAATCAAACCATATTTATTACAAACACAAACAAAAACACTTGGTCAACACCAAGTTCTTTTCCCCAGTAATAAAAGATCTTTAAATTATTTTTGCAACAAAAATGGATGAAAAGGGGATAGTTAGGCGTATGCCCTTCTTTTCTCTGAGTATTCGAATACCCGTTGTATAACTTTCATTTTGAATACTCGTCTTTATCTCAAAACATAATAATGTGATTGAATCTAGTTAATTCTTAATTGAATGAAAAGGACAAGTTAGGCATATGCCCGTCTTTTCTTCAAGTACTTGGATATCTGTTGTATAACTTGAATTTCAAGCACTCGCCTTCTTCAAGGGACTTTAATTTTATACATATCAAATACTCCTTGCAATAAAATGGATGAAAAATGACTAGTTAGGTGTATACTCCTCTTTTCTCGAGCATTTGGATACCTGATGTATAACTTGCCTTTCAAATGCTCGTCTTCCACTTGAAAACAATCCAACCAATCCAACTATCTTTTTTCGCCTTAGCGCAACCACAAACTTTTTCATAAATGAACATATTTTATCCATTCTACTGTGATTCAAACAAACGCTTAAGCCTCCCAAGCGCGAGCCTATACGAAATCCTTAACCACTAGAATGCGATATAAACATCATTCACTAAAATCAATCAACATACAGTTCTTTTCTACTAGAACTATGTAGTATTGACTTCCCCATTGCACTTAGGGATACGTAGGAGAGAGATTCAACCTCGCCAAGCACATTAGTAAAAGACCTAAAAATTTCCCTTGTATTTTCTTTTATAAATAGCGCATAATAATTAGAAGAAATCACAAACAACATTACACTATCAATTTTCACAAAACTAACTTAACAATTCCTATTGAGTAGAACAGATGTGAGCGATGCTAATAAATTTTCTCACATAAATGACTCTCAAACCCGAATTTGGTTGCGAAGACCATTTTCTTTTTATTTTTAGGGTTTTATCAATATTTTATCTTTTCTTTTGGATTAAATAAACTTTGGTGGAGACTCTGTTGTATTTTGAGCGTTTGTTACACTCGGGTATCATTTGTTCCATGACAGGTTGACAATGCTGACAAATTTCTTGATCTTCCTCTCCCTCCCTCCCTCTAGTTCGACTTGGTGGATTTGGTATTAAGTTCAACTTGGTGGATTTGGTACTAGAATGAAGATACCAACAATATCAATTTCTAATTTTACAGATAAAACTTCCCTATAAGTAAAAGGCAATAAATGAATAAACAAAAGCTTATATTATTTTATTTTATTTGAGTGTACCATTGTTAATGTGACACATCAGTGCTTGGTAGTGTTTTGTGAGACTTAATTTGCCTAATAGTTAATTAAGGAAAAGAGACATTTGTAGTGTAGATTTAAAAATTTATGAAACATGTCTTGGATAGTTTGGAGGCATTTATTTTTTCTTAGATAGATAGTTGATGACAAATATTTTCTTTATATATATTTTTAATTATACATTATCTCCGGTTTTATCTCCTAAAATAATGGTTAACGCATATATAAATGAAATTTATATATCAAAAATTTAAAAACTAAAATAAAATAAAATTTAAATTTTAAAAATAAAATAAATAAATCATTATTAATTTTTAAACTATGACATGCAATAACCCTCTTTAGGCCTTAAAACATATTGGATCGGCCCAACACACACGTTTTATCCATAGAATTTCATATAAATTTATAATTTCATTTCTTTCAACCCTAATAGCAAGACCGGCGCCACTTTTCCAAATGGAGACGATTTTCTTCTCCCTCTGACTAATCTTTCACTGGTATGAATATATTTTACTATAGATCTATAATCCTTTCACATAACACATATCGCCACTATATGAATGAAAGTTTAAGTTCATTTGTTATTTTTTTGCCAAATATTTCGTCAATATTTTCCCAATATCTTTTTCCTATTTAATCTCATGTTGTTTTTCTCCTACAGATCCATGAGCGAAGGATGAAAATTTGGTTCATTGAATATCATTATAGGCTTGATTCAATGGAAGTTATTAATATTGTATTATATTTCTGCGATATGCTCTATGATGTTCAATCTACATCACAATCAATCGTAATTTCCTTGATTAAGATAAGTATAAGGGTCCATAATAAAAAGGTATTATTTATTATTTATGATCATTTTAAAATTAATTATACATAATTTTTGGAATATATTTTAACATTTTATTTCAATATGTATGTTTTATCCATGTCTGTTTTGTAAGTGTTGGAGATATAATTATATCATTAAGTTGTAAAATTACATTTCTTTTAAAATGTGTATCTATATCATTATTTTAAACTTTTTTATTGCTTACTACAATATTACCTCTTTGTGGTAAATTTTTATTAGAGAAATCAAACTTGTTTGATATAATTGCAACAAATTTTTGTTGAATATTTTCTTCATATAAACGTTTTTTTCTTAAGTTTGTATTTCTTATATGGAGACTATTTGTTATAGATTAACTATTAACTTAAGGTTCAAGACTTGTTAGTTAATTATATATATACTTATAAATGTAATACATATGTTGGTTCATTGATAAATCATGCGCGCTAGTCTTCTTCGAATTGATTTTTGTAATGTTTCTATGGTTATTTATTTTTACTTTGGTATGTTCATCATGTTTCCTAAACTTAACCTCTTTTGGTTTGCTTTTCATAGGTTTTTCAATTGGCCTTTTCTACCATTACAACATTGTTTCCATGTTGTTTTGCATCACTAGCTTCTTTGTGTGGGTAATTTTTTTCCTTTAGATAGTGTTATTGATGTTTGTGTTTAATTGATATTATACCTTAATTTGATGAATATTATTTTCCTTTTCTATTAACCTTTTCTACTATTACATCCAGTGAATTCTTACACTGACAAGAATTAGCTTTCTTGTCCTACTAGTTTTTAGTTATGAGTATACTTCAAACTACACAAAATTATTTCCTCTTTTGTTCTATTTTCCCATGGAAGACATGCAAATTAGAATCAACTATGTAATGTGATTTCTCTTTGAATGATCTATAGTTCGTATGCCTCTAATATTTTTTTGTACTCATTAAATTTTTATTGTTATTTTCTTTTATGTTGACCTGATTTGAGTTTTTTTGTAGGATTGATTTGAACATGGTCATGAATGAGTGCTGAATAGTTGATACTCACAACTTTAAATTTTATACTCAATGTGCAACACCCATATGCACCTCTTACATATGTTCTTAACAAATATGTTATTCAAAGACTATTTTGGTGAATATGGCTTTAAATATGGTCATTGAAGGATGGGTTTTCTTATCTTAAAGCTTACACCTTTATGATTGTCGTAGTGATGTTTGCATATCATTCATCTTAAGGGAGAAACTAGTTCCACTTACATAAAACTTGTATGTGATGTTTTGGTGGTGGTATCCTCTGTTAGGAGAAATTCCGAGGAAGCATTGTTTACTTGAGACACACCTTTTGTGAGAGACACACCACATATTTATCCAAAACCTTAAGGTGATAGGTGTGTGGATTCTATCACTTATAAAGTGTTCATTCTTTCCTTTTCTAATTAATGTGGGACTTCTTTCCCACACTTTATTATCAATACATCCCCTCAAGTGTGAGTCTATAATGCTCCCCCTCATGTGGAAGTTCTCTTTTCCACATATACTTATACCGCTGTTGACACTCTTCAACGGAACACCTTTTACCCACCACCTGCGAGAAGTGTTTCGATACAAGTAAGCTTGTCCCTTTACTCGAAACCAGGCTCTGATACCACTGTTAGGGGGAATTCTGAGGAGGGGGCATTTTAAACTTGGGACACATCTTTGTGAGAGACACCCCATATAATGACCCAAAATCTTAAGGTGATAGGTGTGTGTCTCTCACTTATAAAGTGTTCATTCTTTCCTTTTCTAATTAATATGAGATTTCTTCCTCACACTTGATTCTTAACATCCTCTTCAAGTAACCTCTTTATTGGTTCTAACTAGCCCTTTATCTAACATGTAACTCGAATGAAAAAAAATTAGATTCAATTATTTAGGTTTGGTTCTGGTTGTAAATCATAACTTATGTTCTTGAACCTAAATAAATGATTTGGTTCATTTAAGTGTAGTTTAGCTCACAGTTCTTGTCAATTTTTCCAGCTTTTTTAATAACCCTAATTCTAAATTTCAAGTCTCATATGGATAAAAATATATAAGACTTCACTATTCAATTTTAGATTATAATGTCTCTCTTAAATAAGCATTAAATTATAAGTGTAAAGATGGAGACATGATAAAGGCTTTAAATTAGGTAATGTTTATTATTGATATGTAATATGTGTTATAATTATTATACATGTTTACAGTAAAATAAGGGAAATATGAGTTTACGTTTAGGGTTTATCAATATATTGTTGTATTATTCATCACAATTGTTTTAAGAAATTAATATATTTAGTAGGGGTTACATACCTTGGGATTCGTTTAAAAATATATATTGTCAATAACAACAGTTAAAACGATTGTATAAATTATTTTTAAAATATTAAAAAAAATTACAATTGTGGAAAATTGTTGTAATCACATAAAAGTGATTTGCATGATGGTTTTTGAGACTGTTTCAAATAGTGCTCACGATATCAAGATTTACAAAGGTTTCAAAATTTTCGTAATATATGTTATACAACAGTTCTAACCACTGCAACATGCCTTCAAACTACGACTTAAGGTCTTTTTACTTGTAGTGTACACAAAATTTGTATCTTTGTCAAAGACCTTTGCTTGGAACAAAAATGTTGTCAAGAAAAAATGACATTAAACGACATTATATCCTTGACAAATTCAAATAAAAAATAAATAAAAAACTTAACTTTTTGTATGTATATTTAAGGGTTATTGGTGTTAATGGTAGAATTTGTATCTTTCTTCCTTTCTTTCTTTCTTCTTCTCCTCACTTTTCCCTCTTTTCCTTTCCACTTGTATCAAATTATTCGATTTTTTACTTCTTTAATTCATTGCTTTGAACACTAGTGCAGGAAAGACATTTTACGTCGGGCGACAAGTACATTTTACATCGAGTCTGAGTCCGATGTAAATCCAAGCAATGTAGTAAATCAAAGATATTTTACATCGGGCAATAGCCCGATGTGAAAAACTCACCTACCACATCGGTTGCCTGTTGGGTCTGATGTGAAAAAAAAATACAATTTAAAATAATGTAATATTTTACATCGGTTGCCTTATTGGCCCGATATAAAAGATGTGTTTTAACACCGGGTTCCTTTATGACCCGATGTAAAATGTTTGCTTTTTTTCTTAAAAAATTTGACTATTTTTTAGCGGATTCCGTGTAATTTTTGTTGGTGTCTAATTTTTCATATTTTTCCAATATCACACGAATCATATTTAGGTCACTATTTTCATAGTTTTCCAACATCACATAGACCATATTTATGTGACTATTTTCATATTTTTTTAATCAACCTAATTTCATTGCATCAAATAGTTAGGATGCACATATATATTCTTCAAAATGAATAATTGATTTACAAAAGTAATAATCTAGGATACACACAAGTGTACAAAATTATAAGGAATTTTACACGGTGGACTACTACAACAACAAAACATACAAAAAATCCAATCATTTATAAGTCATTTCGCACACTTGAATTACCAATATGAAATCCACAAGTAGATGAGTTGTAGTTTTGGTAGACAACACCAAAATCTCAGATTGCTTGAAAAGGTGTTCATTAGAAATAGACAAAATGGATGTTATTATGTTAAAATGCCCAGAATTGATGCATCTAACTGGACTAGGATCATTAGCAACGCCTGACAATTCTGAGGCCCAATCTTAATCTACTCTTAAAAGCCCATCTTCCCAACTGACTTGAGCAAATTTTGAAAGAGATCACGTTGTCGAGTCAAGTCTTTAATTTCCTTATCCATCTGCAAATATTCAAATTAAGGAGGAAAATGACTAACTGAATAAAAAATCTCAACATAAAAAAGAAACATTTAAATTTCGTATAATATATTTTCTTTTGGTAATTACGTTATTTGTGAGTGTTAATTGTCTTTTGGCAACAAATTATAGAAATAGTTGATTTTGAAATAACCTCATCAAAGTTTATAAACCACTATCCCCATCCATACTTTACTTCCACCAAGTAAATCGATTTTTCTTCATTTGATTGTCCAGGTATTAACAATTTAACAGATATGCTTAGGGATAGTGAATTTGAGTTTAGCTCTAAGGCATACAAGGTACGAATCTTATCTAACTATTAATGTGGTTTCTAATATATACCCCTATTAAGGGCCTTATTATGATGTTCACAAAATCGAGTCTTTGAACACATTATAAAAAGGAAACAATAATTTAAAAAAAGGAATAAGGACATTTTATGAAAATGGAGAATAAACAAATTTCTCATCCTTATTTGGATATGAAACTTACTAACCCCGTAGTTCTTCACTAGTTTGAAGGGAAAATGAGCATCTTAATGAATACAGGCTGATTATTTTCATTCGTAACAGTTAGTTAATAATTTTTAACCAGATTCATATATGCTTCTTTTTAAGTGAACCAAACTTATAAAATTGTTTAAAGTATTGTCATAATATTAGATGCAACACAAATATTACAATAGCCTAAAAAACATGATTTATTGAGTCTTCCTCACCTGTTTAATTTGAAGTTCCCTTTCCTTTAGTACAGTGGTATTTAAAATCTTCAATTCATTCCCCATTATAGACAATTCCTTTTGTAGTTTCTTTACCAAAACCTTGTGTGACATCACGATGTTGACCCGGGCATTAGTAGTCACCAATCCTATTAATGGGGACTTCCAGCTGCCTAACATCTGCTTGTGCACCCTGAAAGCAGCCATAATCAAGAGCATGCAAAAATTCAGAATCCAGATACAAATGGAGAGTATACATGAAGACTAAAAAGACAAGAACAAGAACACACCCAAATCAATGGTGTTAGCAGTGGAAAGTCCAAGATCATTCTGACAATGAGTGGAAATAATAACATTCTCAACTCCAGGTGTATTAGCTTTTATATCAGCAATTAATTTCCCGAATTCACTCGGCATGGTTATTCCGACAGTATCAGGTATATTGAGTGTAGTAGCCCCTGTCTTAATAACCTCCAAGAATTTGATATAAAAAATCCCTATCCGACCTGTTATCATCATACATGTTATAAACACCAACACCAACAACAAAAACAGAACAATAGTTATAATGATAGTGAAATACTAAGTTCAAATTAAATGAATGAACACCTTCCCACATCTTCGAGACTGAACTCAACATCTTCACAGCCTAAACTACGGGCGAATGCAACCATAGTTTGAGCTTTTTCAATGACCTGTTCTCTAGACATTCTAAGTTTATACTCCATAAGAATGGATCTAGTAGAAATGAAAGTGTGAATCCTCGGTCTCTTTGCATGTTTAACTGCATCCCAATCCCTTTGAATACCATTTTCATTACATCTATAGAGACCACAAATGACAGGGACATAATCGTTTTTGTCGACAGTGTTTCCGACTTCAATGGTAATCATTTTAACGGCTTCAAAGTTGTCTATAGAGGTGGAGGGAAATCTAGCCTCGATAATGTCTATGCTGAGTTTGGAAAGCTAGCGAGCAATGTCGAGTTTTTCCTTGGAAGTCATGAAGGCTCCCGGGGACTGTTCGCCGTCACGGAGAGTGGTGTCGAAGATGTGAACATATGAGGGGTCAGGGATGTAAGGAG